TAGGATGGTCAGAGTGTTGGACTGGGACTTGGGGGATCCAGCGCAGGTGCTCAGCCATAAGGCTCATTGCATGACTGGGGCCATTCCCTGACTCCATGTAATCAACCAAGTGTTGTTGTTGTGATGATAAAAATGAGATGGAGGAGAAACCAGCATGTGTTCTTTGTAAGAGGCAAAAAGGGTGGGATATAAATGCACTAATATAATTAATTAAAAGAAGAAGTTTGGATGAAACGAAGTCATGATGCCTGTGATGAACAGGGCCTATGTTGAATGGGACAACAGCAAAGGGGGGGGAGGGCTAATGCACCCCCCTTCATATGTGTATTGTATCCAGTGTCAGAATAGGGCTAATGTGTATGTGCATCAGTTCTTGTGAAATGACATGTTTAAAATGAATAAACTCATAACTTAATTTACTTGCTCCTGTACAATTTGAAATGAAAGCAAAGGCAGCTTTTTCAGATTGAAGCCTGCCAAAAAAGAACTTCAATTCGTAATATTGAAGGGGAAAATAATATTAGAGCCTTCACAGAAGATCCAAGTGATAGAAAGTTGTCAAAATCCCAGTGCTGCATTATTTGTAGAACTCAGAGTAGTTCACAAATGGAAAATCTGGGGTACTTCCAGGCAAGTCTTTTAGGGTGCCATTGTCCTGCCTCATACACAGAATTTTATAGGAAGCCCACAGGATGGCATTTCCCTTTCAGAGTATTCCATGTTTTCCCTTCTTCTGTCTTTTTTGCACTGTGGAAAATGCATAAAGGAAAAACTGGGATACCTTCAGAATGCCTATCACTAGGACCTCTCCATCTCAAAACAGCCCTTATCAAGAGCATATGCTACACACGCATTTCAAAATACCTCTAATGCTGGCCTGGGAGTTGGGAGATGTGGGTTCTTGTCTCCACTTAGCCATGAAGCTTACTGGGTGATTTGGAGCCAGTCTTGGGCTCTCAGTCTAGCCTACTTCACAAGGCTATTGTGGTGAAGATAAAATGCAGAAAAGAAGAATCTTGTAAGCTGCCTTTAGCTCTTTGCAAGAGGAATAAAGGTGGAGTATAAATGTAATGTGATCATAAATCATCTGATATTAAAGCAGTCTTCAAGAAGGAGTCCATACATTTAGTACAACTATTGTATCTACATCCATTCAGGTGGGACCCTGGCATCAAGGAAGGTCAGACTAGAATCAAACACATGCTGGCTGGGGAATGCTGGGAGTTGGAGTCCAGCGCATCCATTTATGAAAAGCAGTCCTAGACAATCCAGAAGATTCTTTCCGCCCGCCCACCCGCACCGGCTGCTCCTGCTTCTTCCTGTGCCTTGTGGAACTCTGGAGTATGCACAGCCCTAGACAGTACAGTCCAAGGGTGTCTCCCCAAGACACACCTGCCATTTGAGGTGTCAGAGTCTAAGGACAGCAGGATCTTACCACATCAGTTTGTCATGTGTCCACCAGGCCACATCCCAAGCTCAGAACCATCCTGTGGCTTGAGGGTTAAATCCCAGAGCAGCAGATAGGCTTGCTGTGGGAATTTACACCACTGCCAACCCATGCCAAATTCTGTAGCCCAAGGATTTTCATGGCTAAATGGCAGAAGGCCCAGACCAGAGGGGCCGGGGGCCAAACCCTGACAGCTGGCATGTATAACCCAGACTATGCTGCTGATTTATCTTCATTGCCAAGCCTCCTGGGCTTTAGTCTGAAGCAAATCCATATCAAGAAACTCTCTGGCCTCTCTCAGAATTAATCACATCCAAATCCACCTTTAAATAATGACAGGGTGGCAGCTCCAGCTGATAAAAGCCAAGGAAATCCACCTCCAGGCTGACAGTCGCTCTCCAACATAACATGCGAGAAATCCCCCCTCCATTCTCTTCCCCCTCACAGCACTAAAAAGGAAGCATCAGCCTTTTGAATGTCCCTACCACGACTGTCATATTCTTTTGCAATTAAAAAAATCAGGAAAGAAAAAAAGATCTGCTTGCTTAATACTTACTGGGGATCCTGCATTTGTCTCTAAGCTCTCTCAGCAAGTGAAGTTACTGCTGACAGATGGTGCGGAGAATATGGGCTGTTCTGGATTTCTTCCAAACATTGTGTCTAGCCCTAGTGTGTCTGAAGGAGGAGATTTTTTTGGTTTTGTTTTTGAAAGCAAGTCCATTTTTGTTGATTTCCCTTTTAAGGATTACCTTTATAAATTTCATTTAAACCACTGACAGCAGAGTTCATTCTGGTTTGCATTTTTGCAACCCTTGGCATTTCTTAAATTCCCAGACAGGAAATAGTCAGAAGTATTGCAATGGAGCACTGGCCTACTTCCCTGAATTTGGGTCCTTTCCTTCATATGGAATAGACTCATACAAAACTATATACAAAAAGGTTCCAGACGTATTACACCAGCAGCAAAGGAAGGATGATTAAATGTCCGAATGAGTGGATGACCTCAGTGCTGCAAGAGCAGCCAGGATAGTCACCAGGGTGACAAACTAAGGGCACCTGTCTTTGGTGCAACCTGGGCAGGGTCACAAAATCAGCGCCCAAGATCACATTACTGGAGTGAGGTTTAATTATATCATAATTTCTGGAAGAAATTGAAGAGTTTTGCATGTTTTCAAAGTCCTATAGCAGAAGCTAGAAACAGCTTAGTTAGAGGCTTATTAAGGGCAGCAGGGCAGGCAGAATGACACTGACAGTTACGATTGCCCCGATGCATTTATTTTAAATGAAAGAGCCCATTCTGCTGGAGGAGAAAAGGAAAGTCATAAGCATGTGGCTGTTTTAGCAACACTACTCTTAAAGGTCCACAGTTTCTAATTTCCTCTCATCACATGTGTGGAATGCAGAGGGGTAGAATTAGAAACTTGCCAATGAATAGTTTCACCACTGAAAACAACTGATAATCAGTTACTGCTTGTGTTTTTCTTCTGTAAGCATTTATTCCTTCTGAATTCCTTTACAGTTTATCTAGTGATTGAGCAGAATGCTGCACCTTTGCCATCAAAATCATATATGCTTTCATGAGAAGTCCTGGCATTTACTGACATATTGGGCAGGGGGTGGGGTTAAGGGATACAAAAAAATAATACATTGAGCATAAAGTGTCACCTCTCATTTTCCAGATAGTCCTTGGGCTGAAGAGGACACTGGCAACCGTAAATATTATGTGGGCCACATTTTCATACTGCATCAATATTAACTGGACACTGAAGAAGAAAGTATGAAACTAGAAAATTAATATATTGCAGGAGGACAATCATTATCATATTTCTATTTACCAGCTTTTTATTCCTAGTTTTTATCAAGGGCAAGAAGTGAAATTGGCATCTTATTTCTTCTTATGTGTTGGTATATATCTATTGAACAGCCTAACTGTCTGAATGTGGATGGCTACTGAAACTGAATACTGAAAAAGGAAACCAACCTTAAAAAAACAAAAACAAAAAAACCTTCTATGACATAGTGAAGTGCACTGTCACTCTCTGGGAACAGCAACTGATATTGCATATTCTACTGAGCTCTGTGCAAGAGTAGCTTGATTCTGCACTAAGGAAAAAAAAACATTCTGCAACCTGTATAAATTATACTAATTTCACATGGGTGCTTATTGCACCTGCATTACCTGTGTTAATGAAATATCATCCACGATGTAGTGGTCATCAGTATTTCTTACAGCAGTGAATTCTCTGGGTTAATTACACATGGTGGGAAGGAGTCAGTCCTACTGGGTGGCCAAGAGACAGAAAGAGTGTAGATATAATTCCATATATCCCTGCTGAGAACCTAAAATGTTCTCCATATATCCCTTCCCTGTGGGGCTCCCTCAAATGAGGTGAGGGCTTCCTCAAATGATGAAGAAAGGGCCTTTCCAGTGGAGGCTCCCACTATTCAGTGACCTCCACAGAGAGGCTTCCTTGGCATTTGCACTGTGATCTTTTCAGCACCAGTGAAGCTCCTTTTATTTTCCCAGGATCTTTTATTTATTTATTTATTTATTTATTTATTAGCTCTTTGTTTTTCAAAATGTGTGCTTTTAGATCTTTGCCCTGCTGTTGGCTTTTATCTTGATTACTACCCTGGTATTATTCTGTTCTGAACCTAAGATTTTATATTATGTTTAACTATGTTATTATACTCCTTCATGGATCACTGCCTTGTCGTGGAGAAGGGGCTTGCGTAGCTCAATGAAGCTATGAGCTTTGCCATGCAGAGTCACCCAAGACGGACAGGTCATAGCAGAGAGCTCTGACAAAATGTGATCCACTGGAGAAGGAAATGGCAACCCACTCCAGTATCTTTGCCATGAAAACCCCATGGACAGTACCAAAAGGCAAAAAGATATGATGCCGGAAGATGAGCCCCTCAGGTCAGAAGGTGTCCAATGTGCTACTGGGGAAGAGCAGAGGGCTAGTACTAGTAGTGCCAGAAAGAATGAAGCCACTGGATCAAAGCCGAAAGGACACTCAGTTGCTGATGTATCTGGTGGTGAAAGGAAAGTCCAATGCTGCAAAGATCTATACTCCGTAGGAACCTGGAATGTAAGATCCATGAATCCAGGCAAGCTGGATGTGGTCAAACAAGAGATGACAAGACTGAACATTGACATCTTAGGAATCAGTGAACTAAAATGGACAGGAATGGGTGAATTTAATTCAGATGACCATCAGGTATACTACTGCGGGCAAGAATCCCTCAGAAGAAATGGAGTAACCTTCATAGTCAATAAAAGAGTAGGAAAAGCAGTACTGGGATACAATCTCCAAAATGACAGAATGATCTCAGTTTGAATCCAGGAAAACCATTCAACATCACAATAGTTCAAGTCTATGCCCCAACCACTGGTGCTGAAGAGGCTGAAGTTGACCGGTTCTATGAAGGCCTACAACACCTTCTAGGATTAACACCCTAAATGATGTCCTTATCATCATGGGGGATAGGAATGCTAAAGTAGGAAGCCAAAAGATAACTGGAATAACAGGCGAGTTTGGCCTTGGAGTACAAAATGAAGCAGGGCACAGGCTGGTAGAATTTTGTCAAGAGACTACGATGGTCATAGCAAACACTCTTTTCCAACAACCCAAGAGATGACTCTACACATGGACATAACCAGAGGTCAACACAGGAATCAGATTGACTGGTTGGGAAATTGAGTTTTGAGATAGACCAATGCAGTGTCCAATGGATTAGAGTATGGTTGATAGACCAAAAGTAGAGGGTAACTATTGCTGGAGAATGGTGAGTGGAATCCCCCAGGGCTCTGTCCTGGGATCAATCCTGTTCAATCTTTTCATCAGTGACCTGGAACAGGGGGTGACCAGTCTGCTGATCAGATTCACAGACAATACTAAAATGAGGGCGGTGGCCACAACTAAGGAGCAGGAACTCCAGATCCGGAAGGATATGGACAGACTATGGAAATGGACAGGGGACAACAGGATGGTGTTCAATGTAGATAAGTGCAAGGTCTTGCACTTGTGGCATAGGAATGGGTGTCATAAGTACAGGTTAGGGGACAAGTGGCTAGAAATTTGGATGCCTGTAAGTACTTCCTGACAGTTAGGACCTCAAGGATATGGAATGGGCTTCCAATCAGTGAGGGTGTTCAAGGATAGGCTGGACATGCATATGGTAGGCATGTCATAAGTGGAGCCAGCTGGAGCCAGGGGTCAGACTAGATGGCCCAGGAGGTCCATTCTGACTTGCTGTGTTTCAATGTTTCTGTGTTAGGCATCCTTGCAGGATAATAAATTTAATGAAACATAGTATGGCTTACATCTGAGTATATATATATAAATGATTGGGCTACATGTGTGCAATTCTAAGCTCCACTGGGCTTATTTATGGGTGAGTATGCAGTGGACTCAGATTGACTATGTGTTGGAAAACTCAACAGTGGCCACAGGATTGGAAAAGGTCAGTTTACATTCCGATCCCAAAGAAGGGCAATGCCAAAGAATGTTCAAACTACCACACCATTGCACTCATTTCACATGCTAGCAAAGTTATGCTCAAAATCCTACAAGCTAGGCTGCAGCAGTATGTGGACCAAGAACTACCAGAAGTACAGGCAGGATTTCGAAGAGGGAGAGGAACTATAGATCAAATTGCCAACATACGCTGGATCATGGAGAAAGCTAGGGAGTTCCAGAAAAACATCTGCTTCATTGACTATGCTAAAGCCTTTGATTGTGTGGATCACAACAAATTGTGGCAACTTCTTAAAGAGATGGGAGTACCTGACCATCTTATTTGTCTCTTGAGAAACCTATATAAGGGTCAAGAAGCAACAGTGAGAAGTGGACACGGAACCACTGATTGGTTCAAAATTGAGAAAGGAGTTCGGCAACGCTGTATACTGTCTCCCTGTCTATTTAACTTATATGCAGAGCACATCATGAGAAAGGCGGAGCTAGATGAATTACCAATTGGAATTAAGATTGCTGGGAGAAATATCAACAACCTCAGATATGCAGATGATACCACTCTCATGGCAGAAAGTGAAGAGGAACTAAAGAGCCTCTTGATGCGGGTGAAGGAGGAGAGTGCAAAAGTTGGCTTGGAACTCAACATTAAGAAAACTAAGATCATGGCATCCGGTCCTCTCACTTCCTGGCAAATAGATGGGGAAGAAATGGAGGTAGTGACAGATTTTATTTTCCTGGGCTCCAAGATCACTGCAGACTGTGACTGCAGCCAAGAAATTAAAAGACGCTTGCTCCTGGGGAGGAAAGCGATGGCAAATCTAGACGGCATACTAAAAAGCAGAGACATCACCCTACCAACAAAAGTGTGTATAGTCAAGGCTATGGTTTTTCCAGTTGCAATGTATGGCTGTGAAAGCTGGACCATAAGGAAGGCTGAGCGCAAAAGGATTGAGGCCTTTGAATTGTGGTGCTGGAGGAGACTCCTGCGAGTCCCTTGGACCGCAAGGCAATCAAACCGGTCAGTCCTAGAGGAGATCAACCCTGACTGCTCTTTAGAAGGCCAGATACTGAAGATGAATCTCAAATACTTTGGCCACCTAATGAGAAGGAAGGACTCCCTGGAGAAGAGTCTAATGCGGGGAACAATAGATGGCAAAAGAAGAAGCGGACGGCAGAAGATGAGGTGGCTGGATGGAGTCACTGAGGCAGTTGGTGTGAGCTTAGGTGGACTCTGGGAGATGGTAGGGGACAGGAAGGCCTGGAGGAATGCTGTCCATGGGGTCGCGATGGGTCAGACACGACTTCACGACTAACAACAACAACGTTATTATATTGTATAGTTTTAAGCTGTGACTTGTAAACTGCTTGACAAGCTTTGGCTGACAGATGATACAGAAATGTAATCAATCAATCAAATAATAAATTCATAATTTTATGACATTTGATCATCTCTCCCTTGCCCCTGCCTCCGAGTTGCAATTTTAGGATGCTCTCACCATTTCTGCCCACCTCTCCTCAGCCACACTCACTGATTTTGTACCTACCGGAACATTTTCTGGATTCTTGCTGCCACACTCATTGCTGAGTCAATAGATTAGGATAAGAGTGACTGATCCAGACATGGTGTCCCGTCATTCTGGATGTTTGCCAGGTAGCTTAGTGTGATGTCCAAAGACAGAATGGCTTTTCTGTAATGGAGTGCTTGTTGAGAACGAGCCACTCTGATAACCCATGGGTTAAACTAGGATGTTCAGATGGTTTGTTCTCAGAGTGGTTTGTTGTAGTGTCTGAACCCAGCAGAGTGATTTTATTGTAGGCTGATGGGATTGATTTGAGAACCTCCTGGCAAGAGGAAATCCCTGCCACTCCTTCTAATCTCCCTAGAGCTGCTGCCAAACTTCCTAATTTCTTCTCCCAACCCCCTTTGTCTCAAGAGGAATTTTATTTTTAATAGAAATCTTAAAGAAAACAAACCGGAGAAAATTCCAAAATTCATCTGCAGGGGTCATCCTCTCCCCGCCCCCAATCATGCGCAAACGCAGAGAATGAAATATCCACTGCTGGGAATTACCCCTTTCCTCATGGATCTCTAGCTCAGGGATGTCTGGTCCTCTGGGAATTGCTGGGCATTCCATTATCCTCAGTCAGCACAGGCAATGGCTTCCCACTCTTGCTCGTCCTTGACAACCTTTCAAGACACTCATGAAGTTTCCCCCTGTTTTACTGCTCCACCATGAAACTGGTGTATTTCTACCAATCCATCTGACTTGACTGCTTTGAAATATGTGTATGTTTAGCAATCCTTCTTAATGCTCCATAGCCCTCATGGACATCCATCAGTGGATACCAGTGGATGGAAATTACGATGAGGGTGGGGATGCTGATCATGGTGGATTCCTGTAAAAGAAAAGATGCCTTAGAGGTAGGTAATGTTATTTCAGTAGAATGTGAAGCAGTTTGTTTGTTTGTTTGAAATGTGTTTGCTAGCAAGTAAAGCCCCAAAGTGGAAGATAAATTTGCCAAGGACATTGATAAAAGGGGTACAGGTCTATGCTGGTTTTAATAGCAAACAGGCAGTCCTGCAACCTTGCATAAGAAACTTGTGGGGTTTTTTTTTAATAGAGAACATTCATACATAAGGGTTTCCCACATTCATAAGGGCTTCAGTACAGGAGTACAGCCCTACAGGAGTTTCCCTCATGAATCAGCAACCTCAGTGGACCAATTGCAAAAAGAAGCCAAAGAAGGGAATGAGGATTTCTGCTGCAAAGCCTCTGGATATGTACCAGCATCAGCTGGTGGGACTGAGAGTTACAGAAGGAGAAACAAGTAAAAAAAAAAGAAGGGTGTGTTTGTTTGTTTGTTTGTTTTGGTTTTGCATCAAGACAAAAGCCAGGAACTTTGATATCAACTTTTATACCCCAAAGTCCTTTGCCAGTGTGTTATACAATACCATACATGACATTACCATACTGCAATCTTACGAACTGGCCATCCTAAGGTGGGCTAGTTTCATTTGAGCTTCTTTCTCTAAATTTAAGTTCCTCCTTCTTACAAAGGTCATAACTGCCAACTTAGCTAATTCCAGAGAAACTCAAAAAGTCCCCAGCTTCTCCTGAAACATCCTGTCTCTGCACCTTGTGGGTGGCAACATGTTTTGAAAAAGGTATATTAACCACAGCCTGTTCTTGTAAACTTCTCTCTTTTCTACAGTCAAAAGATTACTTGTGCTATCTAAACAAACCCTTTCCAAAATTGATTCTGGCTCATTCTAGACCACAAAACCAGTCTTCTACTAGGCCTCCTATTCTTTGGTTCTTTTAGATGTTCAGTCTTAAAGTTATGTTGTGCTAGCTATACTCCTCTTCTAATTTAAGAACCCAAACAATAAACCTTATGGCAGGTTCATTGAGCTGTTCACTGAAATATAAGTCCATTTATAATGCTTCTTATACTCTGCAAACTGCATCATATGTCAGGAGCGATGGACAATACACCAACACACCATGGCTTATTCCCAAGTTGGTTTAGCATGATGTACAAACTTGCCCACTAATTCTGACTAAATTCTGAGTCTCTATACAAAGTGGAGAGAGAGGGGGAATTGATTATATACATCAATTAGTTGAATAGCCACAGAGCAATAAGCGACTTTTTAACTAGCTATAAAAATGTACTGCCTTGGCCGGACACCTCCTCCTCCTCCTGTGTATGTGATGTCTTCAAACCATGAACTGTGCAACTATGAATAGCAATAATCAAAGCTAGTAATCCTTTTATGACTCCTAATTAAGCGGCTCTTTGCCATATAACAGGCTAATATTATTAGTGTTATTTGTGTCATGGTAATGTTCAGCAGCCTCTTGTTATGATTAGGGTCTCCTTGGACAAAAGTTGTTGGATGAAACCTTCTCTGCAGAATGTAAAAATCAACCTAACAAGGCAGTTCCGGCAGGAGTGCTGTAATGATAATCACACTTGTGAGGCTGGACCACCACATTATGTCTGTAGCAATATTGCTGATGGGGATCAAGGGCAAAAGAAAAAACATTTGGGCTGCTAGCCTTATCCTGAGTGTATGAACAGGAAAATAAAAATGAAGCAATGACCATGCTACCTGTTCTAAACTTTAAGAAACCTGATGATCGAGAACAATTTCCACATGTTTGCCTAAGAATAAATTTAAATATGTAACTTTACAATAAAATAAACCAATAATACCAGTAACTAAAAAGCAAAGAAACAGGAGAGAAACAGCAACGATTCATTTTTAGTTACAGGTAGACAGGGGAAATGTCATGTGTTTCTTGGAAGGTCCAGCAATTTCCAGACACATTCCCCATCCCTGATCTGTGAGGAAAGGGGGTCATAGCTGGGTGACTCAAGGTAGAATTACTCCTATATTGGGCCCTGTTAGAAGCAGCATCCATGTGCCATGTTCTCTCTTTCCTTCTCAATAACACATAGCTACATTTTGAGCCAATGCTGTGATGTCATGGCATTCTGTGTTTTCCTGCCACTGCTATATACAATTTCCTCATGTTGGTACAGAAATGTCTGGTGTCTCGTAATGGGAGGCAAGGGCAATTATACATTCTGGAGGAAGAATATGGGGATACTGCTTGACTGACAGTGACTACTCTCCCTTTCTCCCCTCCTTCCATTTATAAACCATCCAAGAGCCAAACTCTCTGGGCTCTCCCTCTACCACACAAGCAGCAGCCCTTCAGTAGAACATAAAGAAAGGAGTCTTGGCCCTTTTTTGCCCCCTACTGAGTAATTTAGCAGCAGCAATGAGAAAGAGTATCTGGGACTGTGTGTGCATGGTATGTTGATAACCTCAGTTAGGTGCACATTCTCTGTGACCTCCAGGCCTGTTGTTCAGAGCATGCGCCAAGCAGATGCTGGAAGAGCAAGGAAGGTAGGTTTGGCAATTTTAATCTCCCTGGGTATGAGGCATGGTGGAGCCTGCAGGGGGTGGGGGGTGATTGCTTCGGCTCATTCTTAAATTTTTACTGTATCAGTTTTGTATTCTTCCTTTAGAGGCTGCTGGGGCAAATTTTATTGTATTTTTTTCACTAGTCCCCCTGAGGTTGGTGGAAAAACTTTTATTTTACTTTGTTACCTTTGTCTTTGATGCTGTTTGGGCAATTGGGTTTCATTTTTTAAACTCTTTCTATGTGGCCATGGGACATACCTGTGCCTTATTGTCACCTTGTCACCTGTTTGATAAATGGCAGGAAGCATATGATAAACATATGGAGCTATGTAATAATTACTAAACATTCTTAATGCTAGAGGCATAAGCAAGTTTGAATAATACATCCCATCTCCCAGTATGACAAAAGGTATATTATATCTGTACAGCATGAGTGTGTCGGTTTATATCTTACATTCTGATCAAATTAGCCCTTAGGGTGCTTAAAATAATGATGAAGTGGGTTAATGCATTAAAAAACCAGATCAATAATTATAATGAAAACCAATATAAGACAACCACCAGTCAACAAGAGAAGTTCAGTTGGTGCCTGAAGACCTTCCTAGAAAGCAAGTTGCTTTCCATACTTCTGTATAAAATCTTAGCCTTGCAGTGTCTCTAGGGAGAACTTTCCAGAGCATAGGTGCCACAATGGAAAAGACCCTATTTCTTGGCTATATTCTTATGAAGTTACTGCACTTTAGTACACGCAAAAGCCCTGTTCAGACAAACAATGCTTACATGTTGAATGAATGTGTGAGCAAGGAGTGGGGGCCACACTGACCATACCTACCTCCAATAGCCTAACCCTCTGACACCTGTGTGCTCATCAGGGACACCTGCAGAAAGGAAGCCTCCGCATCTACAGCTGAACATGCAAGGATTACTTTATTGAGGTGATGAAACCATGGATGTGTGGGTGGGGCAAGAGAGGACTCAAGGCATATAAATATTCTAAATAAATAAATAAATAAATAAGACATAAAAGAAGGACTAGTTGGCACTGCTTCGCTTGAGTATTGGTTCAATACATCAATGTTGTTACTGAGTAGAACTTATGAACTCTCATCTTCATTGGGTAACATAAAGAAACGGGGAGCGGAACCCTTTAAAGAAGAGTACGAGAATCTACTTCTAAAAATTTTGTTAATATGGTAATTGACATACTAGAACTTTCCTGGCCAGAGAAACCAGGTGATGGTCAATCTGAGTGCTTTTCTATATCAAGTGTTAATCTTCCGGGACCATCATCTGAAGAGCAGTTCCTGCTTTTCATCATCTGAAGAGCAGTTTCATCATCTGAAGAGCAGTTCCTGCTTTTTGACTATGTAACCTCTAGGTGGCATTGTGCTATAGCCAAATAGTGCAATTATTGAGGTGGGAAAAAAGTCGTCTTTCACTTTCAGAAATAATTGTACTTTGCTGCTCAAAAAACAAACAAACAAAAAACCAGCCAAAAACAAAAACCCCAAAACTTGTCAAAAGTGTTTAAATACAAACGTGAAATTAAATACAGAAGTGTTTAAATACAAAAGAACCTGTAAACAACTGTTAAGTTGGGGATGGCAAACACATGATGCAGGACTTGTATGGAAAAGCCTTGAATTGACCCTTTCTTGGAAGTTACTCCATGATTAATATCTGCTAGTTGTCACATCTGTTTCTTCCTCTGCCTTTCCCTGTGCTGTTTAAGCTCCCATTCATTGCTGGTAGGAAGGCCTTTCATATGTTACATCTTCTGATATTTACTTTTTCTCCATTAATGCAAAAATTAATTAATTAATTAAACTGATTGACAGTAATTTGAACACCTATTGTTTGACAGTCCTTCTGACATCAGGGATATCATATACCTTGATTTTAAGTTCTGGGCTTTATCATGACTTTTGGTTGCCTCTGATACAACTTTTGCTCAGTAT